TTGTCAAGCCATCAGGCACCCACAAATGTTCAAGGGGCTTGAACTGAATATTTGGTTCAAGTACACAGGTGGGGACATATGAGGTTTATCCTGCCTCACATGTGCCAACAAAATCTATGAGGTATTTTCTTGGAATTCTGCATCAAACAGCTTGCCCAGACACACTCAGAGTGGCNACCGCGAAAGCCAAAAGAAACAACTAATGAACAGAAGTACTTTAGAGGAAAACAAAATATAAAAAACTATCATCATATTGGGAATTATCAGAAGTCAGATAAATGTGGGGACATTGACTTATTAGGAAACAGGTTCTGCATTGCACCAAGGAGCGTGACTAAACCACGTGCTCACTTAAGTGTGACTGTAAAAAATCCAATACGTGATCTCAAAATGACCAAGAATTTGTGAATTGTGGCAGCATTTTCGCATGTTGTGTGAGAGAGCCCATGCGGCCAACAAGTCCGTATGTGGCTAAGAAAACAAAACTATCCAGTATCCATGTAGGCCAATTACTGTATGACGCCTTCCACCCCATTGGAACAGATGAGCACCAGTCAATTCTGTCGTGATTACCAAAAGGGACTTCTTTCGTAGGAACCTTTTTTCCACTGGATATCTGCTTCGCCTAGGAGATATTGCTTTGAGGGCAAATTGAACAGCATCAGTAACCTGTCGATATTTTAAATTGCTGCAGTTCTCTGCTCGTGACTCTCCGTAGATTGCATGAGGTCACTTGGGTCAGAACTACTTGAGATTAGGTCAAGCTCAAAAGAACCAGAACCAAATTTTTTGAACTGCTGAGAAGAGGGAAATTGAAGTAGGATGCTACAAACACTTGAGTACAATGTAGAGTAACGAAGAGCTCATCCATGATGCATATGTATATATGGAGCGGCAGTCGGTTCGTGTCAGTTGTATTTATGGTTTAGATAGAACCTGTTTTCACAACACTCCTCACTGAATTAAATTTGGAACCGAAAGATTCGAATTTTATTACCACAGGGAAAATGCCAAGCAAGAATGTCAGTTTCAAATGCCGTAGGGCTGACTTAAGAACTTTACTGCTTTTTCCTGCACAGTAAATAATGATTGAGTAGAATGTCATGGATGTGTGATCTTTTATTACCATTTCTCTGGGGGAACGGACAGGAAACAATTCGATTGTATGGACCTCTTGCATTTGAGCTTCATTTCGTGAAAAAAGTCATTATCTTAGGAGAAATGTTGAACCAGTTCACCTTGCGGTAGGTTTTTGTGAGACAGCACTCATCGTCATTGAAATTAATACCATATAGGAACATTGGTACTCCACTGCCCTTACATCAGTAAAAATTTAATGTTTCTATTGCAGCGTTCGCAACTCACCCGGTCGCATCATTCATCGATGCCTGACAAATTAATAAGGGGAACAGGAACGTGTTTTCTACCACACTGCCAACGCAAATGGTTGGATTGGAAAGGTTGTTGGCGGTAACCGCCAATCGAACATCGGGTAATTAGATATCCTTCTATGTCTTCAAGCAAATTGCTCAGCGTGACACAGATTAATAAACACCCGATCTTAAACCATTAAACGCAGCCATGTCAACAATATTTCAAACTATTTCCAGGTGTCATCCGAATTACGATATGATACCAGCGCCAATGGGCTAAAAAGGGTACAAAGAATATTTGCAAAAGGTGCAAATTCGAATTTATCGAAAAACGCCGCGGGTTGGAGACAAAACAATCCACATTTCGTGTTATTTTCCTGCTCGTTCAAAATGAAGATCTGCGAAAACCAGATGTACTTGGCTGCTACTGATAAGGATCAGATGAGGGAACGTTGAGTGAGTAAATCCTGTCAAGACTATTCGGCATTACAAAGGTTCACGATATCATCCGGTTACCCTATTGAGACATGCCGACGCCACTTCACTGAAAGAACGTACATGGAAGGCCTGAACTTTTAGTTAATGTGTTTTCCTTCGGATAGGTAGTGGGTCTCCATATGTGCAGGACTGTTGGCCAACAGCCAGCTCCGTGGCGCCCCAATCTTTAATAACTAGTAGTAATAATTTGGGAACACGTTAGTGTAGTACGTCGGTATAGTAGTAGCGTTGGTAGTTCCAACTCAGTACGATTGGAATACAATTAGAAAATCAAGTTGAACTTGGGTTGAGTGTTGGGTTATTGCCGAAGTCACGAGCTGTTGGTTGATACGCGTAACACAATATGTTAACCTCAAAGACAAGTTGAGATTTCTCCTAAATAGGTTGTGCCAATCAGCGCATTAGAAATAGGATTTAATGCCTGTTTACCTTGTTTTGCCACTTGGTCTCTGAATTCGTCAGCTAATACCCTAAGCTATGCTCCAGCTCAAGCATGTTTCCTGAAGTTTATCGTCCGTTTCAAGCAAGCAGAAGACCTGAACAGAATCTAAAGGAATGGCCAGATCTACGAGGGCGCTAGCCTTTGTGTGAATACGGATAGAAAGGCTTGTCATAAAAAAGAACTGCTGAGTTAAATGATGCTCCCCTAACCAAACGAAGTTGAAGCTGCTGCTATACGCGTCTACACATATCATGACTCTTTGCGGCCCAAGTTTTGGCTACTGTTTCCTTTCTGACACGGGTCTAGCCCACAGACCATAGAAAAATGCATTCAATTGTTTGTTGAACAGAATCTTTACTAATTCCAAAGGTGGGATGTATGTCGTAAGTTGAGTTAATGGAAAGGCCGTGATAAACCGACTAGTGTGACCGCAAAAATGTTTTTCACTGCACTCAGTCGTTCAATAAGCAACCACCTGGAATACCGAATGTAATATAGCGTCATTGATGGATGATTTATTTTGTATTAAGAAAACAATCAGAATCCTATGTTCCTTCTCTGTTTTGTTCGAATGATTTTCAGTACTCCTATTACGGTATCATGTAGATACATCAGCGTAGTTAAGCCCATAACATTCAGATTTTCCGTCGTATCAAATGGATCAGTAAAATTGCTTCCGAAAATCTGCATGGTCGAGTGTTTTAGAGGTCAAATAACTGGTCATACTTCCCAGTGGCTTTTATATATCCCCTACCCACTGTATGCTTTTCACGTTACTAAGGCTGGTCGGTTTCCCCCCAGCGCCACGCACAATAGTGATAACCCGATCATTGACAGCTCGTGCTTACATCTTCCGGTAATCCTCATTCGGTGATTCTGTGAAAGGATGTGACGCCGTTTCCGGCATTCATGAGGTGATCAACCTGCATGTTATACTCTAGCAGAGCACTCCATGACAGCGATGAACAAGGCATGCTATGCTAAGCGGTGTAAGAGGAATGATAAAAATCTACCATAATCTCTCTATCGGTTGTGCTCTGTCTGAGATTAGCAGGAAACCTTCAAGTGAAATCCAGTTTGTACAAAGGTTGAATAAATAGCTCCTCTGCATCCTAGGCTAGTGTGTCTGGTCATGCATTGTGACGAAACACGCAGTGCTTGATTGCTAACCTTCCAGCGCCTCATGGGACACTACCCGGTCGTGGTCCCAGATACTTGTCTGTTTACCACAGTGGTCACATGCTAGCAACAATCGATATGAAAGTTGGGTCGGATGAAATTACCCGCGAGGTTCGAATCTGCTTGACGGGTCCGGTGAGCAATGGAACAAGTGTTCTGGATTTGGACAGATAATCTCATTTACACACGAAGTTGGCTTTGACAGGAGGCTCAGCTGAATGTAGATGAACCCCCCCCCCCGCTTATGATGCTTTGTACATGATTGATGAAACCCAAGAAGAGCGAAACAGGTCTGCAATGTCGAAGAGTCTTCATCAACCTTATGGATAGTCTGTTACTTCTGGAAGAGTGTTTTAAATGTTTTAGCAGATAGTAATATTATGGTTTGAAGACCCTGAGGCTGCTTTGTTCGACACCTGTTTCCACTTCTATGTCGTAATTCGCGCGTGGCTGTGCAAGCAATAATGATGCAACCTGGAATGATGCTTGAAACATTGTCTGTACCACGTCCCAAAGAAACATCTTGGGTATCTGTTCATCAAACAACTATTGCTATCGCCTATCGAGTATGAGTAGTTACAACCCGTAGAGTCAGCTTATCCCCTCAAAGAAGTTGGCCATAATAAACTAAGTAAAGTATTTCGAACTGTGTCAACGTGAGACTCAAACAATTTCGATGATTCTCTACTGTTCGAATTTTAAGCTTTACACAAGCTTAGTATACGAAGAATAGCTTAATTTGGTGCTCACCGTCCGTCCAGTTAATACCCATTGTATGCTCAAGTTGGCCAACTGAGAAAATCTTGAAAAAAAAACAGATAGTCACTGGAGAGAACACTTGAAGTTCTCCTCTTGGAGGGGAAATTTAAATAAAACTAATAAGGGTGGAAACCCATGATGGAGGCAATTGCAATATATCATTATATCTATTCTCGTTATTCATTCCGCGCAGTGAGAAAAACAGAAGTCACTGGAGAGAACACTTGAAGTTCTCCTCTTGGAGGGGAAATTTAAATAAAACTAATAAGGGTGGAAACCCATGATGGAGGCAATTGCAATATATCATTATATCTATTCTCGTTATTCATTCCGCGCAGTGAACTGAACTGTGGTCGGTGGTCACACCGACAATTTACGATAAATTTATGCCCAGAGAAGTAACCCCGTTAGAATACTGTGTATGACACTTTGCTAAGCTGTAAGCAGACCCCTGTCCAGTTGCACCACTAGGCAACATTTGTTATCGGGAAACCGTATCGTTGGCCTGACAGTCAAACAAACAGCTACATTATTCTCTGAATCAGGAAACTTATGGTTTTCAGCAGCACATCCAAGGAAAGGATTTCACTAAGATAGTGCCCTCCATGGGCCCGTCTGCTAGAAGGCTACTGCTGTCCAGTCAGCTTAGGTGGGATGGTGGTTTGAACTAAATACGGTGAGACAGGATACACGTAGCCCGTGGAACCTTTCATATACTATGATCTAATATTTCCTCCTGTCTTTCCAGAATGAGCTCTCTGCATGTGGGTGCGAAACAACCATCATGTCATTCTGTCGCATCCATGTTGGACATGGACAACTCAGAAGTGTGCTATAAAACGGACTTCAGGAGAAGGAAATCATTCCGACTGAGAACTCTGGCCAGTGCAGATGCTAGTAGTGTTATCTCTGTGAACTATGGCAAACAAGGATGCAAATTTTTGGCCGCTTCTTGCCTACTATCAGTCACATTCGCCGCGACACAACTCACCATTGCCATAAATTACATAAGAGATGGCGAGCAAGAAACTTTATTAGCCAACCACGTCATTATGCCCATAATGCTGTTCATATTTGCCGGTGAAATCGCGTACATCACCGCGTTCCCAAAGAAACGAATGAGTTTTCCTGAAATCCTCATATGGACGACGGCTGGAATGATATTTCTAATGGGTATCTGTTCACTATTATTGACTTTTCGGTCCTTGCCACTTGACATAACGCAAGCATCCGAACAACAGACAAGTCGTGTTGAATGGATATCCCTAGCAGTAAAACCTGCACAGTTCAATAAACCAGCGGTAATCCCTATACTTATCGTGTTTAATTTAATTTTCCTGGGGTTTGATATACTGAACTCGGTTGCTTTCTTCAAACTCTACAAGCCTATCAAAGAGGATGCTGAAGCTCGGGAAGACCAGTCGGAATGCGACTCAACAACGAGTGAATAAACCAGTGTCCCTCCATTTTCTGTTGTCCAAGTTCGTGCACGCGTTATTGACTGGTTGATTGTGTTCCAAACGTTCTTGAGCGACTGATAAAAACTGTCCTGGCAAAATCATTTTCGTTCCACTTGAAAAGACAACTAGAGATGGGTGTGTGCACTGTCAATGAGTTCGGGCTGAATCATGCGCTGAGTCGAGTAGAACGAACACGCTGACCGTCACACCGCATGCAGAACGATAGAACGAATCGGTAACTTTTTGCACTGCCTCCGGTAGCGTCAAAACTACTCCTGCCTTGATTAATAACGCCTCCCACGCTTGCAATGCAGACAAATTCAAATCCACTGAAGTTGAAGGAATACCGCAGACTGGTATATGTTGGCACCGCTGAATCCACATTATTGAAAAATGACATTGTGGATGCGTCAGCTCCTAACTGCGAGAATACATTCAATTCAGTCAGGTGCTGCGCAATCTACAGAAAGGTGAGGTATTTTTAAGCAAATTCAGAGTAACATAAACCAAGGTGTGGGTGCGCTGTGCGTAATGGGGCTCGGGTAACTCTTCCTATAGTCGACTACACATAGCGGCAAACTGATGTGGATAACGTTCACACTGTCATTTCATGTCTTAATCAGCATCACATGTGAGCACTTTAGTTCAGTTCAGGAGAACGATGGGACTAAAACCTCACATCCTTATTGACCTGGGAGAATACTCTGCAAATAAAATGAGACCATTGTATGCCGAGTAGCCAGTGGTGTGAACAAAGGTTCAGAAACTACAAGAGAGTAACGCACCGTCCCTGATTTGAGATAGTTCAGTCGTTATGGCGTGAAGCAACTGACTGGGAGATCCGAACTAAACCCCATGCCTTTCGACTGCTCCTGACTAGATTTGCACAGACCGACAATACCCCGGTCCATGTCACATGGCAGCTATTCACCGAAGGAATATCAATAATTTAGTATTCCGTTGATGTCAAATGAATGCAGAAACACCTGGTATAATTTACGACGGAATAGTACAACCAAAGAGCATTGAATAGAGACTTGGCGTCAAGTTTTCCTGATAACTTATGTTTTCAAACGGTCCAGTAACCCATAGAGTAAAAGAAAACGGAAGAAGAAGACAGATTCAATGTGATGCGGAGTAGCAGAATAAAGTATATGAATGTGATACATGCTGAGATAACAAATACTGAAAGTCAAACTAGGCACAGTATGGTAACGAAAGACATGGAGAGGATGTTTGGAGATGTGTATAAAAATGAACGCTGATTAGTACCTGTTGCTAGAAGTAAGAAATGTAAAAAGTGGTAGTAAAATTCCATGACCATCAGCAAGTAGGTTGAAAATAGGAACACAAGAAATTCCAGATGAAAGGGTGGAAAAAAGGCGCTGAAAAAAGACGGCGTATATCACAGCCTGAGTATGGATATCAATATAACGATCAAACGCTATCGGAGCATGCAATTACGGGCGGTTTCGGCTATTCATCTGTTGGTGGTGAACTAGTTGATGGTGTAGGGTTAAAAGATGTTGATGATTCGACTGTTCGCTGAGCAGGCTCGGGGTTGTGTAAACCCATATTCCGTCTCTCTAAAAGGTGAGGAATGGCATCAGAAATCGTCTGAGAGGTTACGGCAGCTGCGAAATCATTCCCTGTTCCGAATACAGCCTCCGTGCTCTGACCGGCAGCGTGACCAATCAAACGACCAAACCTGTTAAAAAGCAAACCAAACAGACATTGATTGGTAGATGGCTATATCGGAAAATCAAAACTGAGTATAGAGAAGTAGCGCCCACTGGGCCGGCTGCAACCAACCATAACCGCTACAGGATAGAGCAAGCGATATTTTGATAGGCTGATCAAAGCCCGCCTCAAACAAATTAGTTGAGCGAAAACTTGATAGGTAGATAGGATCAGACCCTCTGTTCCAAAGCCTAACGTCTGACAGTTTCAAAATGCAAAGTCCGTTTAAGGCACCCGTGGTGAGGACATTGAATATTAGTAGGTTTCAAGACTAGGTAAATGGCCATTTGTAAATAATCCACAACAGGGGCCTCATTAACAGCTAACGTCAACTGACATGTGAACACTTAGGAACAGGGAGGTCAGGCCAATTGGGGAGGACTTCATTGAAAAAAAGATATTACCTGTATCATGAGTTTTGGGTTGAGTCGTCCACTGCCAAAAAATTGTGGGTTTTCGCACCTAGTTCACGATGAGACAAACGAATAGCCAGAAACAATGAGGTCGTCGGAAGAGGGTGATGGTGAGGACAAAACGTTATGGTAATCGGTGAGATCCGTCGCATACACGACCCGTAATTTACCGCTACGAATGGTTATCAGTGAATGTAGGTGTATCAGCGTATTTCCGTAGAAGACTGAACCTTATCATGTGTGTGCCTCCGTGACTCACACTGAACTGGGGGATGTACGTGTGGCCCTCGCAGAGCCCCTCACATCGGACTGGTCATCGACTAGAGGTCTGAGCAAAATAGTTTTCTAGTACTGCAGGTTGGGGGTTGGAATACTTGTGGTTACTTGCTCCTTAAAAATGTAGGCTGCTCTGAAGGTCATGCATCAGCCACTACTGCCTTGCGATTAAGCTTTTGAGCCAAGGGCTTTGGTTGTGGACCATAGTTATCTTCCTTCCTAAGTCTGGGCGCTCTGGCAGTACCCCAGCTCACGTGGGACCATGAATTCCACACTCACAAATAATCTCAGCCATCGCGTGGTGTCATCAGCCGGGTTACTTTCCTTGAGCAAAGTGCGTAAAATATCCCGGCGGATACGCACAAAAGGGAAAACCACAACGGTATCATCAATATATTCCAGTTCGGTAAGGTTATCGCGCCAGCTGTATGAACACCAGGGTTAAGGAGAGGTTTCAGCGTTCGTCTTATTATCTCATCGAGCACAAAAGTAAATAGGAATGCAGAAAAAGGATATACTGTCGGACACAAGTTAGTGTACGAAAGCCTTTGAAGAGATCCCACATACTATCATGCATTCCGAGACCTGATACAAAGAACTTAGTTTATTGACAAACATCCAGGGTACTTTCTGTAAAGCAGACGTGTCAGGCAGAGCAGACTAGTCAGAAGAGTCCAATCGCCATTGAGATCCAGGAGTACGGAACCTGTGGGTTTTTTTTATACGTATGCCGTTTTTCGAGCACCTAGTCAGCGCAACGCCTCCCAGGACGAAATCCCGCTTGGCGCACTCGCCTCAGTGTCTCACAAGCCATCATAAAGCGACGAAGGACAAGTGACACCAAGGGTCTGGTTGAAACTGCAGTCAACCTGCCAACCCCGCGGTTATCGCATTCACTACGGGTCACTTTTTGAAAGCGGGCATCACCACCGGCTCTTCCCGGTTGTTTGGGACAGTCTTCATTTCCTAGATGCAGGCAAATAGACCATACGAGCGCTGGCTGAGGACTTTACCCTCACCCTTGAAGAATACAACTGAGAGGTTATCCGGACCTGGAGCTCGGTAACACCTTGAAAAAAACATGCAGTCAAAAAACTCGAAGGCCATAGGAGGTTTCAGGGATAGTTTTCCAGTGCAGTTTGACAACATGACTTAGTAGCAGGTGACCACGAGAATCGTTCAGTCCAGCGATCAAGGCGTCCCATTCTATTGAAGGTGGTCTCGCCAGTCTGATGTTTGATGGTTCAGCTGACCGGCGATTTCCTGCGACCGGTCTGACGAATCAAACAAAATAATCCCCAACGTTCTCGGTATTTTTTGCCTCTTCCATTTCATCAGCTTTCCTTGCCCACAAGGTTACACGGTTGGCACATGCGCTGTTTCAAATCACGTGCCACAGGGGGAATCTCCGGTATTGTGCAAGAATGTGATGGTCCCCCTCCAGCACGAATAGACATCTGACGATATAGCAGTTAGGAGAGAGTCCAGAAGACCGTTCTGACAAATTCGCTTAACTTCGGGATTTGCCAGGCTCAGTTGCTACGCGAGTTGTTCCCCCCTTACGTGGCTCTGGGAAACGGAAGAAGCCGACTCCGAACGAGTGCCGGGTCATAATTCACACAAGTGCCCAAAGACGAGTGGCAGCCAGCTATTGATCTGCACCATCATCGACCGAGGACGAAAAGCCTGAGTACTGTCTGTGTGACTCGGACTTCAGAGTTGGCTGCTTGTGACATTCTCTGTGCACGGTTGGTGGCACTGCAAGATATTGCTGTCAACTGATGTCAATGGCGTTATTTGATGTCACTTTCTATCCAGATAATCCCAACCAGTGTGCGAAAGTGCGAGTACTTCGGGTCGACGGTGGTTGGCTAGCACTAAGTCGCTTGTCCATCTAATTTCGTCGTTTTTCCGCCGTAAGACCTTCAATTAAATTATGGTTGTACTGCAGCGAAGACTAATGTTGAACACCGGTGTTGCGCTATCGATGATGATGACCAGTGCTAATCGCGGAAACAGTGCTTCATTGGAATCCAATCAAAACTCGTCCTGTTTCCCCTTTTTGCCTAGTACTGGCTAAAGATAATCAACTGTGTCACCAAGTCTGCAAGAAACGTTAGCAAGTCTGAGGTTATTGGCTTACCATACCCCGCTGGGTCGTGAGGTTGAGTCAAGAGAAAGAACTAATGTATCATGCCTAATTGGAGCACGTTGGAGGAACTAGATGTGATGCACAATTAATGGGAAACAGCTGGGAAAAAGTGTAGACTAGTTCACTCACATGCGCCGTAATTCATCAGAGTTCTCTGCGTGAGGAGTTGCGGATTCCTCGTCCCCATGCCAGAAGTTTGGACGAGCGAAACCGACATCCTGAACTTCGGGTGCGAGAGTGGGGGAAAACATCGGTTCCCATTCGGAGAATATACCATATAGTCCAGAAGCAAATTCATCTGCGGCAGACTGAAGAGCAGAAATTAACTGACGTGCGAACCCCACTCTTCGAGTAGACCGACCGGGAAAATAGTGGGCTGATGAGCGGGAAGTGCTTGAAGCATCTATTCCAGCCTCGCGGTCAGCACGCATTTGTTCCATACAACGGATTGCATCTTGTAGTTCAAGCAAACTCTCCTTATATTGGTTCCGTTCGGCAATAACCCGAGCCATCTCCCGTTTGGTGAAGCAAGCCTCACCCAATTTGGCATTTTGCATACCCTGAAAAGTTGAAGAGGAAGCGTATCAGCTATAATTAATTGGTATACGCTTATCCATCGTCCCAAGAACAGAGTCAGACTATTAAAGGCGGTGTTATATGTAACTAGTAGCATTAACTGGACAGTAAGAGAACAGATCAGTTGTGTGTTACTTTTTCGAACACAGAGGAAAGAAACGCTAAAAAGTGAAAGTTATCCTCGTAAGGCACTGACTCAAATTCGCTTGTAGTAAATCCCGGAACTGGAATAAATATAAAGTGGCTTGAGCGTAAACCAAACCAACCGGGAAACCAGGGCTCGACTCGTACCAAGGAGTCTTTTAAGCTCACTTCGCAGCCGTTCCGCTGCGGACGGAGGTTTTCTCATCAATGCTTCCAGTAAGTGCGAATCAGGAACATATAAACGCAGTGGAACAAGCTACTAGCGTAAAATCGGGAATACTGAAAAAAAAACTGATAGGGTGCCTGGATTAACTCGGTAGTAATCTCAAGGTTTGTGAACTTCCGATCAGGATCTCAGGGAAGATGTACTGTGAATGTTATATCCTTCCACATAATCTAAGATTGACAAGTCTTACTAAGTGACATGAAACGATATCACCCGCGTCAGGACGATCGATCGAAACATATGATGAACAGTTTGTTAAGTTTCGAGACCCACAATCTAAAAGTACAGGCTGTCCGGTTCAAAGAGATCACAGAAGGCATTTTCTAAGTAGTAAGGTTAGTATACGTTCATATCCCCATGGAAAGGTATACTGGGTCTAAGCGCGTTTTTGCGGCTAGCACAGGTCTCTTTGGAACAAACCTGAACTATCAACAATGGTGTCCCTAAATGAGTGCTTAGAACAAAACGGGATGATTCATTTCGAAAGACGTTTGCGCATTGGGAGGTGCCCCCAAGAAAGTAGCCTATTCAATCAGACTGAACAGTATTTCCGGTGCACATGCTACTGCATTCTTAACAACATGGCCTTCCATATTCATGGAAGATACCAACACATGGTACCAAGGCACACTCAAGTCTGTATTCCAAAGTTCATGAAACCCATATTATGGGGGGCTTAATTGTGCATCAAAAAACGAGCAGGATTATTTTGTTTCATGATACACCGTACTTTGTGCACGTTTTGTGGTTGAAAAATTGAAATGAACCGGACTAGACATACCTTCATTCTCAGTCTGATCAGCACTATCTATTTTTTTCGGAAAAGTGCGGCTTTCTTCACGGCTATGACACATAGTAAGCACAAATCCATTGGAAGATATGGATGAGACTGTGCAAAATTTAGAGAACATGAGCCCTAAATTATGAACAGAGAGCCCTATTAGGGTCTGTGTGATCATCGGCCGGGCAGGCCGCGTAGAAATCACCGACGGACTAAATTATTTCGCAAAAATAGAAAGTGAAGAGTGACCTATTCCAGAAATCACAACCAGCCACGTGACGGCGCACGTATGATGGGCTCCACACGGACGTCTTGTTACTTAAAGGAGTCAAACACAAGTCTCGTAGAATTCAATGACAAGGCAGCTGATGACGGTGACACTCGATCGTTTTCCTGTTACTCGCTCTCCGCGGTGACTATATTCAGTTCTCATTCCAGAAAATCCAAAGGAAAACTCCATAACGTATGCTCCTTTTAAATCAGGTGGTCTCAACCATAGACACTTAGGAAAATGTTAACTGGTAAGGCTCAAAGCCACGCAGGAGAGAACGCGATTTCGACCCAGTTTGTCGGTTGTGCACAAATACCAACCCACCGCTATGATGGAAACCTATTCTGTAAAATCCCACAAGCAACAAATGACGAGTGTGAGTGAGCAACGAATATCAATAGGAGGGAAGGCGGCGGATGCAGATGAGTACATTCACAGACACAGCACAGGATAATTTTCGAAAGAGACTACTATTAGTAGAATGTACGGAGTAGCTCCTCTCCCATTTTAGAAGTCACCAGTACATGGTTGGGGTAGCGACGATGGGACTCCTGGTCAATGATGATTTAGCAAGCGAATGTCCCAAACGGCGGCCAACCTACTACTAATTAGGAAAAATCCTACTCTGTCTAACAGCGGTTTTCTTTCGGGGAACTGTTGTAGTAGATTGGTGATTGTCAAGGGATTGGCAACTTACCTCTTGTATGGAAGCAAGGGATCCGCCCGTATAGTCCATGCGGAATCCTTCAGGTTTCTGATTACCTTTAACGTCGTCTGGACGCGCCCCGGCAGATACACGATTGAACGCAACGCAGTCCAATGAACCTGGCAGAGCTGCAGCTTGCCGTTCCAAAGGTGAAATCAGGCTATGGTTTTCACTCTTCGGTGATGTCAAAGTTAGACAGGATGCTGCGTGCTGTAGATTTGATTGAGATGTCATCAGGTCACTGACAACTTCCAAAGGTAGCAGATCTTCCACGTCTTCATACTGTTTTAGACGAGTGTGTAAGTGACTGAGTTGCTTCTGATACGTGTTGATCTGCCGCGCCAAACGATTCGCTTCAGCTTTGGTCTGGTCGCGATTCAAACGCAGATATTCCACTTCTTTCTCTAGCATCATTTTTTCGCTAGGTACAGAGGAGTATGCAAACCATACAAGTGTTCCAGAGATATATGAGCTAAGCATACGACTGCTCATGCAGAAAACAGCTCTATTCGACAAACAACCATTGATCTCCTTAGAAAGGAAAATATCCCACGAGTCATATATGAACCTTTCGACTTTGAGAAGTCATTACTAAATGCTGATCGTTGTACTGTAGCACGCTTTCAGGAGCCAACATAACTGCAACCGGGTCTTTTCTTCTTGGGCTGCCTGAGTAACAGCTCTGTACAAGTGGCAACAACTATACAAGGAGAACTGGGATGAAAATAGGGGCGCGCGTAACAGAATACGTTAATGAGCACACCTTGAACTGTGTAAATCAATCCAATAATCGCCTTTTCTATCACCAGACACCTTATTAAGTATGGCCATTAGGTTGGCATTTATTGAATCTGCAAAGTCGTCACAACTGCAAGACCCCATTTGTTGAACCATAACGAATTCTTATTTATTAACCGATCAAGGCCAGGCCAGGTCAGCGTTTACAAAAATCTCTGGTCACATGTTGTGCCCAACCTGGTCCAAGTAACCTGGTTGTAAATTTTTGCCTTCCGGCAAGAATTTGAATTTCCAATACTTATGTTTGCGTTCGCTTATTTGCTACTAGTACCTGCGTACTGAGGTTGACAAGTGTTCAAAATGGTACTACGTCAGGCATGAAGCGTCTCCTTACTCTATCATTATTTGAATATTCATAACGATTCCTGTCCCAAATCTAATTCCACGCACTGACGTCAAAATCAAAGGAGGATTGTGACATAAGAATCGCACTAGGTTATAAACTGACGTTCTAATGACCCCCGACCATGAAAACTCGATTACGCTTATCCTACACGTCTTTGGTCACCCCGCTCAGAAACAATCGTCCTCTCATATTTAGACGAAATTTTCTGACCATATAAGTTTGTCTCAATACACGCTTTCCAGCGACATGGAGATCCGCTCGTTGCTGTTGTGAGAATAGATGAGTAAGACATCGACCTAGCAGTTCAACGATCCGTTTTTCTCCGCACACCAGCAAGCACGTGCTTCCTTGTTTTTTTTCTGGCTAGGATAGTCGCCTAATAAACAATCCTAACTCATAACCGATGCTATCCAGATGCAATGAGATAACGAACATCGCTGGCGTGATTGTCCGCCATGTTTTGGTTTTTGAACCGACTCTGATTCCAGCATCTTGTGTGGACCATGCACGGAAAGAAAACATGAACTTTCTAGTGGTTTGCTTTACAGGGCGAGAACCAATAGCTGAGCCTTCCGTAACAGCGACGCGCTTGGCTTTCCTGTCTTTGAAGTTATAATCCTTCGTTGGAACTCAAAATGGTGTGGCTTGCATGAATGGGGAAGTGTGCAGGATGACAGAAGACCAAAAATATCGTTGTGGATGACACTGAGGTACGAATCGGTTACAACCTCCTAAATAAAACCCTTTTAGGTAAGGAGCATCGTAGAGTGCAAGACAATATTAGCCAACATTAAGCCCACTCACCCAGAAACGGTATCAAGTTTGCTGATTAGGTCATTTTTCACAACGTTCAGAGCGTTCCTGTGGTTTTAGTGAATAGGGAATACGGGAAAGAAACAATACGACACAAGATAAACATCGTCTTCAAGACATCTAGTAATCGTGCTTCAGGCAACTAAGGTAAAACAGAAAAATCGATAAAAGAACATAAAGACAAAGCCGGAACAACGTTGCCACGATCAGATAATTGTGGCCCTACATTGCCCATAGACTTGGACGTACATTGCAGAAAGCCTAAGCCACTGGCCCCTGAATGCCCAAATTAGGATGAGACAGTTATCCACTGCGTTAGCACTAATACAAAAAGATCGTACATTTTCCTAAATGCTTCGTTACGAGTGCTGGGATATTATTGTGGGCTGGCAATTACCACTTTTATCGAAGTGCCTCAAAAAGACTAGTTATTCACACTATCTATGATAAGGATGCCGTGTGCTTTGCCCCTTAGTGGCGGTATCTTCACTAAGGTGAACGACGACGGCGGGTGTCCGACGTTTAAACCGGATTGAAAGATCAATGGTTGCCCGGATAGGTGAGCTGGCTAAAGCTTGAGTTGGGTCGCCAATCAATCACCCAGTTCAATGACATTCTTCGATGCTGGTATCACAGAAGCGTCCCGCGCATTTCACATATGACAATACAACCAAGAAAATAGTCACCCATCCACCTTGGTGGTTAAATAAACAGCACGCAATTTCATTCCTCAAATATCCAAAAGCTTTACTCTAGTGGATAATAGTGTCTGAGTCTAATATCTGTAGCGTTTTCAACTACATGAGAGAGCGATCTTGATTCATCGCGGTGGCCCACATGATCTTTCTTGCTCGTGTTCATGTGTTTAGCCGAACTGGACAATAGACGGAGAACTGTACCCTAGTTGACACTGTCAGTCTATGGGTCCCTTCACAAATTTATGAAGATACGCAGAGGCATGCGTATCCGAGCTTCAGGGGCAACAAACTGCCCATAGTTCAAGCACAGTTGAGATAACGGATTTTACGGACGAAACATTCTAGGATTTTGAGTATCGACAAATTTCACGAGTCAAAAAAGCCATCGCGAAATGACCACTTTTAACAAAACGAGGTTAGCGATTTAGATACATCCTGTGCACGCAGAGAAGTGAGTTCTATAAAACAACAACGGGTCTCGCAACCACACTGATGGTGGCAGTGTGACCTCAAGGGGGATTGGAATATAGGTAATTCAGACGTCTAACTGAGCTTCCACCGATTCACAAGATTTATTACGGGTAACCAGAATCCGTCACCATTTGTGTAGATAAGGAAACTGGCCAAAGTTGATAGTCACTAGGGTATGAGACAATTATGAAGTCGATTCTTCGCCTGGTAGGAAGTGATCACAACAAAGAAAGTTAAGCGAACAAGACCCCCAGAAATATGTGATGTTATGCTTATTTACAAAGTTATTCTCTGGTCAAATGGTCAAGTGTTGTTTGGAGCCGACGGATGGATTGAGCAGGAAACACTCCATTAACCAAGACAAACACTTCCGAACAACCAGAAAGCAAATGTACCTACTTCTGCTACTTACTTGGTTGCACTTAGCTCTGTATTTTCAGCAATTAGTTTTTCGACTTCCCGCATTATACCTAGACAGAGAAACAAAAACACGGTAAAAGGAAATCAGCTCGTACTCAGATCGCAAGCAAAAACGGCCTTGCAACACATTCCAGTATACTTCCTGAATATGGAATTTCGCAGCTTAACTGATCTCATTGTTGACACCCAAATTCAGAAGAGAAGCACAACAATCAACAAAGGAGCCTTTACGCCAGTTGCCATTGACTATGAGCTCGTAGAAATAAGCGAACCATAACACGTTTAGTCAACCAAGATTCGTCGGTTGCACGTAAGATGGATAGTATTAGGACGAAAGAATTGCACCTTAACATCGGGGACAACCATTCTAAAGTGGACAGAGATACTGAATATAACAGACGAACTGACTGACGACAGCACCCGTTAGCGAAATGAACCACTCGGTTCAGGCAATACCCAGCGGTGATTATTTGAATGTGAGGAACCAATCCCAGAGGGCCATCAAATGCACCTTAGGTGTCGACTTGTGAACCAGACTGGAAGAAATCAGTCAAGAATTCTAGAATGCAACAGGATCGCTCGCGTTGTCATCGTCATCATCATTCTCAGCTGTAATAACCGCGTACTTGTCGTCCAGTGGTTGTAGCTGCCAGTTTCGTTCACCGACGATTCGGGGAGGTGGGGTAGGTAGCTGCGCGTTGGAGCTGATAAATTAGTGCGCAAATACAGCACTGTAGGTGGACTTTTAAGTGGGGGTATTAAAAAGGGAGCTATGCATTGAAGACAATAGCTTGGATGCATGAGCGCCATTGAGGGCACAACTGGGCCATGTCTGAAAATGTCTCTAACCATTGATATGGCCCGTCTCGAGGTCCCCGTCCAGGAAGACGGCAATGACCAGCGCAGGTGAGTTTGCTAGTAATGGCCCCTATATTTCACTGCCAAGTCGTTGTTTGATCGCCTCCGGCTCTCTTCCACCCTTCACGTGGTTGTGCAAAAAGAGCCCTTCGAGAAAGTCCATCGACTGGCATACGCAGCACCTGGCCAAGCCAGCGCAACCTATGCAGTGTGATTAGTTTATCTATCGAGGGCGAGTTACTTCTCCCGAATATCATTCGACGAACTTCAGCATTGCCTTTCTGATCGATATCAGGTTAGACATACACTCTTTGAAAATTTAGTTGGTGTTAATGAGTGTATTCCGTCAACTGTGTAAAATTTGGTGTTCAGGTAGGACATAAGGTTGACGGGAACTCGGGAACCGTACCTAGCCCAAAGAAGGACGATATCGAAGAGTTCCCAGGAACCGTATGTGTAGCACGTTCCGTCAAGTTAAATCTGGCCTACATAAACCATCACGTGCTTGCCCGTTAAGAGTAAATGCATTCCATGAAGCCCCGGTGTTCAAGAGCGCCTGAAAGGACCCCGCAGAGAGAGACTGAAATTAAAGGGGTACTTACCCCTAATCAGAGTGCTGATTGTTATATGTAGAAACATGTTAGTTATGGTTCATGTGATTTGCGCCAACGAGTCTGAGAGCACTGAAAAGCGAATCACATCTACGCTCAGACATAACTTATGCTGGAGCAGGAATACACCGAAAAGCCTCATTGCTTCATTGTCACTGACCTTTCAAGACACCGAAGCCTAAAGGCTCCCCCACTAATATCACCAATAGACCGTCCTGCAGATATAAAATGCACAGATGTGCAACGCTAACGTCGATATGATACCGGATCCCAGCCTATTAGACCTATTGCGCACTTGTGCGTTGTACAGTTAAATAAACAACAGGTGCACTTGAGAGATCGAACTAATAAACACGTCTGTAATGATTGCAGACGCGACCTGTTGGCCATTGTTAATCGGCGTTAATGGACCTGGGCAAAAAGACACAAAGGTATGGAAGGAAAATGAGAATAAGCTGGGTTGTGAATAAGAATTCTATCCGTCATCGTAAAATATGCGTTGCGGCAGGAGGACGATGTTTTTATCCATTTTTAACAAAAATGACGAGGAGATGTAAATGTATTTCAGCTGTAGCACCCTTTCGGCTCCTAGCTGCCATGCCAACTCAGGGAAGCACGAAGGCCGAGATACTTTCAGGTTGCCCAAATCTAGACAGCAGTCGAGACTCATGAGTCGGGTTCGAACCAAGGACCTTCCGGTCAGTAATTTCGCGTGTAAAACACTGAGCCATTTCGAGTTTGATGACATGTAAAGTGAGTGGGTGATAGAAACAGTGACAGATGACACACACACACAACGATGAGGAGTTAAAAACGACCAAGTCTCACAGCTGCAACCAATATGAGGGTTGATGAATAAACTGGACAGAGAGACTGTGAAAACTGACACCGTAGTTTGTCTGTAGTAGAAGTGCACTGAAAAACGAATCCACACCATGTAAGAGTGCTAAGTCGAAACAGAGATAGAGCTCGAGATCAACAGACATTCTCAACAAGGACAAATACTGTGGATCAAGAAGAACCTTAAAAGCGAGAAATGGCAAATACCTACTTTAAGGTTGCAAAATGTGGGACATTTTGGGGGTTAACTATCAGACATGGCAAGTGAGCAGAATGGAGGCAAGTACTTAACCGAGTAACCTGTACAACAGTCAAACGGTCGAATAGAATCCACCGAACAGACATTATCTGTGAGAAGTGGTTTCAAATTTCTACCATATCAGATTGACCAACATGTAGCTATCGGATACGGAAAAGAAGTTGGCCTGCACTTAGTAGGAGCGCTTCTGGGCTCACTGCTCATAATGGACGTGCGCGTCTGAATGGAAACAATAAGTTGTGACGAAAATCGACTATAAAGCGAGCACGTGAAGGATGAGCGATGTCGCATACCATCAATCAACACGTGAGCTAAGGCAGCTGGTCAGGTGCTGCGTTCCGTTGAATCGATAGGTGTCTGTGGGCTGGTTAACCTTATCATCTGGAGTTATCATCAATGACGACATCTGAGCAAACAGCCTTGAGAGGTTCCCACAGAAAACTCTTCCAGATTCCCCTCCCAGAAACCCGCAGAACAGTTCCGGTGAGACCTCAAACTAGGTATCATAACGAAAAGTAGCTTGCTAATTCGAAAAGGGTGCAAAACCTGCAGTCCCATCCTACGTTTGTGTCAAAGCATTTGTCCCACTGAACAACAGGTGTATTAATTCACTGTGGCGAGTCGCGAAACTGGTTAAAATTCCGCTGATTTAGTCCTTGCGACAAAATTTCCATGGCATATACTCGCTCTACGGAGACTCTACTGTGTGAACAAAGACAATGCAAATCTGGTTTCCGCATAAGATGAACAGGTGTATCACTGTGGCGAGTCGCGAAACTGGTTAAAATTCCGCTGATTTAGTCCTTGCGACAAAATTTCCATGGCATATACTCGCTCCGCTCTAACTCTACTGTGTGAACAAAGACAATGCAAATCTGGTTTCCGCATAAGATGAAATGGGGAAAGGACGAAATTGGGA